AAAACAGAATGTTACTAAGAAAATCATAAGGCAGAGAAAACCTATTTATTATTTATTAGGTGGAAGTGGATCGCAAAGGCCTTCATCCTCACCGTCTTCACGTTGAGTAGACTGAGGAGGAAGAGAAAGAGGAATTGGTCTTGCAGTCTCAGGGGTGGCAGAGGCCGAAGAACATCCATGTGTAAATGGACCCGCACAGTTCAAACCCAAATTGTGCAAGGGTCAACTGTCTAGCAACCTTATAGTATACTTGCATTTCTCGCCTTCCCACCTTTGTGCTATTGTTGTCATTTATTTTACTTTTGTGTGTTATAAACTTCACACTTGTTATTTTTGTTTAAAGAGTGAAATATCCTTGTAAAAAAATTTAAAGAATAAAAAAACATGTATTTATCCATGTAATTACCATTTCAGAGTTTCTTTGCCTGATGATTTTTTTATCGGATGCCAGATATTTTGGCTTGTTGTGACTCCTGGATGTACCTTTATTACTATAAATATTTTTAAGCCTTGTGCTAGAATGCAGTTATGTTGCTTGGAAATAGTTTGATCTTTTTGCCTGTTTTGGCTCACCTTGCATCACAGCATGGAAACTCGCACAGCAATAAGAGAAGGCAATTGTAGGACTCATCTCATTTGTTTCCCACCTCTTAGATCATGTCCCACATCTTGAAACTATTGCTTCATATATGTTGTCTGTTTTAGGCCTGAGGGTAAGGTGGTCACTCATGTCTGGAAGTATAATTCTTTAGTTGTTTCTTTTTCTTTTTTTGAGTTGGAGTCTCACTCTGTCACTCAGATTGGAGTGCAGTGGCCACTCCTGGCCACCACAGCCTCGAACTGCTGGGCTCCAGTGATCTTTTCTCTTCAGCCTTCCAAGTAGCTGGAACTACAGGCACGCGCTACCACGCCCAGCTAATTTTTTTATTTATTGTAGAGATGAGGTCTCGCCAAGTTGCCCAGGCGGGTCTCGAACCCGCAGGCTCAGGCAATCCACTCACCTCGACCTCCCAAAGCGCAGGATTACAGGCTGAGCCACCGAGCCCGGCCTTCAGTTATTTCTTATGAAAAAGAAAGGTTGACTCAGAGTTAAACAAACAGTATAGAGGGCAAAGAGCCACAGAATCTTCTCAAGAAGCAGTACAAGGATCTAATCAAGATAACTGACAATATGTATTCAACTTCATTTTCAGTGAATGGTGACTGTTTTATTCCTCCTGCTTTCCTTCCTCTTCAATGAGTGTGCCTACTGCAGTTACTGTATACTTCTCTTACTATTGTATGTTTGTGTGTGTGTGTGTGTGTGTGTGTAGAAGCTGTAGGTAATTTGTCTCCTAAGTTCACAGGTCTTCAGATTTTTTTTTATATTCTATTCTATCTTTTAAGTTGGAGTCTCACTCCATCACCCAGGCTGGAGTGCAATGGCACACTCACGGTCACCCTAGCATCGACAAGCTGGGCTCTAGCAATCCTTCCACCTAAGCCTTCCAAGTAGCTGGAACTACGGGCACGCGCTACTACACCCAGCTAATTCTTTTTTTGATTTATTGTAGAGACGAGGTCTCACCAAGTTGCCCAGGCTGGCCTCAAACCCATGGGCTCAGGCAATCCACTCACCTCAGTCTCCCAAAGTGCTGCGATTACAGGCTGAGCCAGGTCTTCAGATTTAATGAAAACACACCTGAACAGCTCCATCTATACCCAAATCTGAAGTAGATGAGACCCTAAACTTCAAGCCTAAGACTAGTGTGCTACTGGGATGAAACTTTCTTGGAAGGATATGAACGTATTTTCAAGTGGGAAGAATATAAATTTGTGGCCAGAGAGTGGACTGTAGTGTTTGCACTCCTCTCATCAAGAGATATAATTATGATCCCTCTTCTTGAATGTAGCTGGGCTCTTTACAACTTTGACATACAGCAAAAATGAAGCTGTGCCAATATCTGGGCCCAGGTCCTAAGACACTGGATATTCCACCTCTTAGGTCTTGAACTGTCCTTTAGAAAGTTTGCTCTAGGAGAAGCCACAAGTCACATAGCAAGTCCAACTACCATGAAATCGCCATACATGGAGAAAACGATACCAGCTAGTCCCCAGCTGTTCCAGATATCACAGTCTAGACATGTGATTAAAGAAGCCATTTTCAATATTCCAGATCCAGAAGACACCACATGGAGAACAGAGGCCCTAGAAATATAGCTCCAGTCATCTCCAGATGCTTGAACCACTCTAGATGAAGTCCTAAACAAATTCCTCATCTATAAAACAAGAGATATAACCAAATGGCTATTATTACAAGTCATCAAGATTTGGAATAATTTGTCATGCAGCAATAAATAACTAGAGCAGGAGGAAAATCAAGAGTTCATTTTGGATATGCCTATTACAGACAGAGACAGAGAGAAAGAGAGAGAGGAGAGACAGAGAAAGTTAGAGAAAGAGACATACAGACAGAGACATAGAGGTAGAGATGGACATATGAGTCTGGAGTACAAGAAGAGGTCCAGAATGAAGATATAAATTTGGAGATATTCTCTTTGGCCTGTTCTATCTTTCCTTTTACTTAGCAGTTATCACATGTGGTACTGTCTAGATAATTTATTTGGTTTAATGCTTGTTGTCTGTATTCTCCTGATATAATTAAAACTCCTCAAAGACACGGTCTTTATACAATAACCTATGCCCTTTATACAACGACTGGCATATTGAAGATATTCAAGCATATGTTGTGAACCAACTCAAAATTAGTATTTAAGACTATTTTAATAATGAAATTACTTAGGAAATGAGTACAGTAGAGAAAAAATATGATTTGAAAATGAGCATTTCACCATTTAGAGATTGCAGAGATGAAGAGGAATCAGCAAAGGAGATGAGAGAATACAACTGGTAAGAAAAGAGAACAAGAAACAGTGTTCTAGAAGCAAAGTAAAGTGTTTGAAGAAGAAGCGATCAAGTACATCAATGATATGCTGATAAAGATCAGCACTGAGCATTAATTCTGGATTTGCCAAAATGGAAGGTCACTGATGACCTTGACCTGAAGAGTTTAGTAGAAGAATGATAATAAAGTCTAACTGTAACGAGACTAGCAGGTGAATGGAGGGAGAGAAAAAAGACTTCTTTAAATTGAGTTTTCCTATCAACTGGAGAAATGGCTAGAGGGAGCTGGGATGCCAGGGATTGCTGCCATTGATATATTATAAAAGGTTTTTGTGTTCTAATAGGAATAATACTATAAAGAAGAGAAAAAGAGAAAAAAACTAATAATACAGAGAGAATATTTTGAGTCTAGTATGAAATGAGTGGATTGGCTCTAAAAATGAACAATAAAATAAATCATCTAAAGTTAGAAAAAAGAAGAGAGCATAGGGATAAATGCAGATATACAGATGGATGTGATAGAAATTCCCTTGTCTTTGCTTTTCTCAGTAAAACAGATAGGAAGGTCATCAGCTAAGACTAAAGAGAGGGGAGATGCAAAATAGTTCTTTAGAACTATACTCAAATACACCTGGCATATATCTCACTTGAGAACTTACTATATTGTGCTCTAATTATTTATGGGCATGTCTCTTTCTCCACTACACTATAAAATAATTTAAGATAGAAGAAGTATTTTTTATTTTTGCACTATCAGCACGTAACACGGTGCAGCAAATAATGTTTGTTAACTCACTGACTGAATAAATGAAAGTTATAGATTCCTTTAGGATTTTGGAGCAAAGCAAAGAGTCTGAAAAGAGCAATAAATAAAATGCTATCAAACGTCTATTTAATATATATGAAAGCAGGGGGCAAAAATGAAATTATTTTCCAGAGGGGAGGTCCCCTGTAGTACAAGCTCCCCCCACTACATAAGCATTCTAGGAACCCATTGGCAACAGTATACCAGCTAGCGTTGTTGTGAGAGGCTGCGTTTTGGCTTCAGTGAATTTTCTTTTGGAGAGTTCTTTCAACACATTCACCCATTTCATGACAGGTGATTTGTAAGCATACCTACGCACACTGCGCTGAATGTTCAATCGTTTTGACCAAAACACAGCAAGGCCCCCTCCTGCCCCACCCTCCCTATTCACTCAATCTTGCCTCGAGTGACTTTTTTTGTGTGTCCCTGGGTGAAAAAAGGCCTCAAAGGGAAACATTTTGCCAATATGGAAGATGTGAAACAAAAAACAGCAGAAGCACCAAAAAGCATCAAAACTGATGGGTTCAAAAACTGTTTTAAGCAGTGGGAAAAGCATCTCAATAGGTGCATTTCATCCAATGGGGAGCATTCTGAAGATGACTGAAGTCTAAACATGTAAGAATAAATATTTAATTTTTAAAAAATAAATCCCAGGTGTTTGGGGAGTCTCTCTTGTATAGTTAAGTATAATTCACAAATATTCAAATACCAAAACCATTAAGCTTCAACTTATTTGTGAAATAAAAAAAAACTATAGATAGAACACAAACATTTCACCTTTTAACATACTAGGGAAGTAATGAGATGCTGAAATTAAAAATAAATGTGCAGTGTTATGAGTTACTCTGGAGTATGCTTCATGATGACGCTAGGTATTTCAACATTTCATGACAAGATGCCAAGGTTCACCTTCCACAAAAGCTAACATCTTTGAAAAAAGGTTACTACAACAATGCTCCCATTAAAAAAAAAACAAACATAAGAACATTCTCACACTACAGTCATTCTTTTATAAGCACAAGGCTTTCTCTTGACACCAAGTGTTGGAACAAATAAAAATTAAATACCTTGGATCAGGTGAGGAACAACAGAATGTGCCCCTGACATTTAAAATACTCTCATTACTTAAGATTTTGTGAAAATCACTACAACTCAAAAACAATGATTTGGCTACACATTTTAACTTTCACAAATCCTATGTTGTGTTATGTGGAACAATTACTTTTAGAACCACCAAAATTCAAAGATATCATTTAAAACTAAAACAAATAAATAAAATTAAACTAAAATAAAAACAAATTTGGAGCATGTATATTTTCAGCATCATTTAATTCTTCAATAACTTTTGGGACATTCTTTTTCCTTTTACAAAAAGAATAGCAGCGATATATTCTACTGGTAGAAAATTAAGAGCTCTTCTATAAAACCCTATGAAAAGAAATTTTAATTATCACTGAGTACACAAAGTCCTCTAAAAAATGTGAAAGAAGCCAGGCAACAGACTCAACAGCCTTGAAGACTCATTTCCCTCTGAACAAGGATTTGTTATGCTTCCTAGCCACTCCTTCAGAAAAGTCCTTTTCTAGTTAACTGGATAGTTCAGAATATCAAAAAGTAGGCACAAAGCAGGAATGTGAGTAGGTCATCTAATATATCTGCTCTTACTCCACGGCTACTAACATGAAGTCCACTGGTGCAGGTTGGGGGCAAACACCACGATCCCGCAACGTATGGTCGTCAGAGGCTTAGTCGTCCACTACTTTGACTCTCTCCCTATGACCTGAGGGTCAGGTGTTCAGTAAGATGCAACGGAAATAAGACTGAACGGGATCTGGAGAGGAAATTAAAAACAAAAGGGGCATCTCAACATTTTTTACTTTTGGTGAAGTCATATGGTTTCCACCACTGCGCAAATTGCAGCGCTTTCTTCCTCTGGTCCTCAAAGCTTTCTCGGATCCCTTTCCTCCAAAGTCTTGGCTCTATATCCAGCATCCCACCAATGATTTCCTTTTAAAAGAATGAGAAAAATATAAACATATATAAATAAAAATAAAAACAGGAATGAAACTATTTCTGTTTATTCTGGTAACAGATATAACATTAAGTAGTTCTCCATGATAACTTTCAAATACTAGTATCAAGTTTTAAAAGTCTTGCTTTCGATTAGTTCCAATTATGTAAACCCTGTGATTCTAGGAGTCCAACTTAGATGTGTCTCCTGTCAAGCGATCCGTCCCCTTTGCTGCTTGCTAGCACATTTACCAGATGGTAGCAACGGTGAGGAAGGAAAAGTGAAATATAATTCATTTTCTCTGTGGTAGTGGCTCCAGTGAACAGTTTTGAGAAAAAGTTAATCAACTTGTAGTGATTATTAACTCTGTTGCTCAACTGCAGTTGAATTTCAGGCTAGCACTCTCTCTGCCACCAAGTATATTTATAAACCAGTTTCTTCTACAATTAGCTGGTGGGTTTTTTTTGTCTTCAGGAAACAAAATCATATTGTAATACTAGTCTAAGTAAACCTAGAATTAAAAATTATAAATCGCCTTCACTGAAAGTGTCATATTCTCAAGCCCTGAAAGGAATGGCTTTTTGGTTATCTGCTTATTATTCCAGATTATTTTCTTCATGATCCTCCTTTTGTGTTGTTAGCTATAGAAATGAATCAAATTTATGCATGTGGGTATCTGTGTACAGAAGGTGATGTAGGATACCTGTAATATTTAGAGGGAGGGTAGTATGGTAATAAAGGAAAAAACTGGATTAAAGGCCAAGCTCTATATATTCAGTCTAGCTCTGTGTGGTGAAATCCTGGACAAATCACATAATCTCCCAGATATAGGTTCTTCCTCTTACTTGGGGACCTAACCTGCACAAGCAAATGCCATATGTCAATAACTACCATATGGCTATCTGTCCTCAGAGAGCTTAGAATAGAATATGGAGCTGTAGTGGGAGCCAGAATAATAATCCAGACATACAGTGGACTGTCTTACAGAATCTATAATAAGGTAAATGCCAAAGCAGAACATTTGGAGATTCAAAAAAAATAATAAATTCTACTTGTTGGACAAATCAGGAGAAGCTTCATGGAAAAGGGACTCTCCAGTCATCAGGAAAGAGAAATAAAATGGCCAACAAAGATAGTAGGCAAGAGAAATGGGGCAAATTTGAAATGGGGCAAATTTGGATTCAGTTCAAGAACTTCTCACCCTTGGTCCAAGTAAGCAATGTAGTTTAAAAAGGCCTAGCTTACAAGAGTTGACCTGAAATTGTCTACCAAATCTCAAGCTTTGTCTTATGTCCACCATACAGGATTGATCCTTCTCTGCCACCCAAGTAGCCATAATGAAAAATGTTCATTCCAACCATCTCTTCTTGCGCTTTGAACAACTGCCTGGGTGGCAGGCTGAAGGGAGTTCTGGAGCCCACAGGCTATTTTCTTGAAAAGCAAATTTTGAGAAAAATGGTTCAGAGACACAGTGCTGACTGGGGAAACATTCCTTTTAACTTTAAGACAGTATCATATAAACCATAATGCATGCATTTTATGTGAAAGGAGGGCAATCTTCCAACTAAGTCTCCATAACAAAAAAAAGGGATATTTTACTTCCTTTTCACTAGAACCAACTTAAAAAAATAATAAACTGAGCCTTATAGAGTCTTCAGTTATAAAGCTCTACTGAATAACAACAGGATTTTTCTAAGAGGTGAAAAAATTATCTCTAGTTAACTCTGAAAAGAAATTCAGAAAATGTATCAAACATATTTCTGTAATATATTGCAACAGTTTAAAGATGCAGATAACTTTGGGCCTCCGGTTACCCCATCAAGGACAACAGCATAAAAAGTTTTGAATCAAACCTCTAGAGATAAGATTCCTCTTGACACATCCCTGTTCATTGCTGAAGATGGTCACATGCAGGAGAGGAAAGTGGGAAGAACCAGGAAGCAGGGTGTAGGGTGTGGAGGTGGGAACCCCAAGCAGAGCTCATCAAGGTGCTTCTTATTTAGAGGAACTGGCCACACAAGGATGGAAATGAGCAGAAAGGCCTGAGCTACACTAGATTAAAAGGGCACTTCTAGAGCTATTATTGCCCAGATTTCTTTTGACTGTTTCAGTTACTGCATTAATTTCATTTCAGTATCTGACACTAACTTACACACTTTCCCAGATACTCTGTAGACCTGTAACGTAAAGACTATACTCCTAGAAGGCAATGTGTGATAATGGAAAGGACATCCTAGCAATCAAAAGATCTGTACTCAGAAACGATCAGTATAAAATGAGTCCATGCCTTCCTTAACTATGAATGACGAGGTGAGACACATTGTTATCTGGTTCAACCACCACCATATGCACCCCTGGTTATGTCACTTATTAACACAAGACCCTGGGCAAGTTATATAATCTCTCTGTAATTCAGTTTCTTTACCTGTAAAATGAAAGTCACAACAATATCTACATAATAGAATTATTGTGAGCATTAACTGAGTGATTAGAGCAGTAGCTAGCACACTGTAAGGCCTTAACACGTGCTGGCAATTACCATCATTCTCAGCACAAGGCTGGCTGACTCCAAAAACAAAGTGTAGTCACTATTGGCACTGTCAATAAATGCTTGGTTCCAAAGTGACAGTCCTGCTTTTGTTATAAATATTCTGGGATATTTTTATTAATAGCTGCTAGGTTCTCTATCTAAAAATTGGGTGTAACAGTACTTACCAACCTCACAGTGTATTGTGCCCAAAGTTCTGACTTCCCTTCAAAAGAAAAAAGTTACCAATGCTGGAATCTTATCAAATTTGTGAGCATACCTTTCCAAAATAATGAGGGAATTTGTGTTGATCTTCAATGACATGGGCAAACCCTCCATGGAGGCCAAAATCCACAGAGAAGTAAGGTAAGCCTCTGGGTACCTAAACAAACAGACAAATCATCCATGAAATACAAATGTAATCAGACAGGTATGCTTAATCCCGCTTCTTCCTATCTGGTATATCAGAGATCTGGTATATCATGGCGAATATATAAATGAATTTCCAATTCTAGAGATACTTTAGCAATGACCTAACTTTCTAACCAAAAGACTTCATTTTGGTCACCTTTCTTCATCACATCTAGCAATCATGGTCAAAACCAGTTATCTTTCTGTCTTTGGGGAAAATCGAGGTGGGGTACTTTTTTTCTTTTTACATATACAAGAAAGAATAAGGATATGCTTTCTTATATTTTACTCACAGTGCAGAACAGGAAGAGGGTCCTGGCCACATACTTAAAGTTTTTTTACACTATCTCTGAATCTTTACTACTATATATTTATCAAAGATAAATTATACAATCATAATTCTTTATTTGCTGGTACAATAGGTACAGCAATACTTAGTTTACCAACCTTATTTCAAAATATCTCCAAGATTAAATCTCTATAATTCTCTTCTCCTTCTTCCTCCTTCCCTTGTTCCCTCTTTCTCTACATACACAAAATATTTTAGACAATATCTTAACCAAAAAGGTATAATTTCTTGCTTTCTTTATCAATTAAGATCTTGTGTCTTTGCAAGCTTTTCTTCAAAGCCCCAAGTGTGTCACTCGAAATTATCTAAATAGGTCAATTCATAGTAACATTTCTCCCCTTTGTCCCCTTATATAATCAGCATTTACTCAGCTGGGCACTGAATCATGTATTTCTACTTAACTGTACAAATTTATTCTGTCAAGAAGATATGACTTGGAAGGGCACAGTAGGGTATGGTAGAAAGAGAGTGGTCATCCTGAAATATTATATAGCATTTAAAATTAGGACTTATAAAAAGATGTTCATGTTATAGAAAAACCACCAGTAAAAAAATACTAGTTTTTAAAATAGTATATAGCATGAAATGCAGAGAAACAAGTTTTGATTTTTTGGCGTTTGTTTTTGTATCTTTCCACATTTTTAATATGATGATCATGCTATGACCTTGACAATTAGGAAAAAGTAAAGTAAAAAAGAGACAAGCAAGGCTCTAATTGCAGCTCTGATTCTTGTAAATGTGTGACCTCACAAGTTATTTAACATCTCTGAGTCTCACGAGAAAGATGAAGAGTTCAGAGGTTTGCTGTGAGGATCAAATAGGACAATGTACATAACGTTTCTGGCCCAATTCTTGGCACAAAGAAGATTATTCAGATACAAAATATTATTCCTTTCATTCTATCTCCCATACACGGAAGCTCTGTGCAAAACTGGTGGACAAAGAAAAAAAGGACAGAAGGCTGCATGAGAATATCTTTGCCAACTGAACTACATCAGCAAGTATGAACCATGAATCTGGCTAAAAGGATGTTATGCTAAAGAGGACAGTATTTTGAAAGAGAGAAATACTTGAGGAAGAAATCTGTATCGCCAGTACCAATGCCTTTTGTATCTGAGACTATATGAAGTCACAGTAGATGGAGGATGAGTCGGATGACCTCTTGAGGTCCCTCTTAGCTTTAAGATTCTATAATTATGTGGTTGGAATTGTGAAAACTTTAGTGCAAGAATAGTTCCAAAGGAGGTCACTTTTTAGGTTAATAAGCTTGTATTTTCAGATATAAGACTATGTGACGTCTTTGTAAAGGCAACTGTTGCTATCTCTAAAATGCTTTCAAGTAGAATACATAATTGCCATTCTTAGAAGGATCTATGTGTTTCTTATATTCCACATTGATTTAATTAAACTATTAAGACCTCCGGGTCACTTAATTCAGGTGTTAAAAAATAAATAAATAAGAGGTGTTAATTAACCTGTAAGAAAATGTATGTATGATGCACAAAATGAGGAATATTACATTTCTTTTAAATTTTCTATTTTGAAATATTTTCAACTGCCATTAAGATCACATTCTGCAAGAATACTTAATGGCATGGGAAATTATTATATGAGAAGAAACCTACACACAAAAGATGTATGTACACTACATACTTTTTTCTAAAGGCTCAAAAGTAAGAAAAATAAATAAGACATTTACGGTTTCTTTTTTGTTTTTTAATATGCTGCCTGGCCCAATTCACCAGCAAGGGATAAGAAAATGATGGTAAACCGTGTTCTACCTCTGAATTAAAACTATGTATCTTCAATAATGCAATTAAATTTGAATATTCTCACTGGGATATAATAAGTATAATAAGAAATACTATCGGTCACATGACACGTATCAGGACTGTGGCTTTCCAAAAAAAGAAATGGAGGAGAAATATTCCAGTGACATTTAGAAGAGGTTGGCAAGCATTTTCCATAAAAGAGCCACACAATTCAATATTTTAAGCTTTGAGTTTCATATAATCTCTACTGAGACTACTCAACTCGGTCCTTGTAGCATGAAAGTAGACATAAGCAATCCACAAACAAATGAGTGTGGGTGCGTTCCAATAAAACTTCATTTACACAAAAAGAAGGAAGACCGGATTTAGGGTGCAGGTTTGAGCTGCCAACCCCAGCACCCCAATATAAACTCCATAAAGGCAGGGATCTTTTGTTTTGTTCCACTAGGTACAAAAATCACCTAGAAAAGTAACTGGCAAATAGCAGGCACTCAACAAATATTTGTAGAATAAATTCTTTTTTGAATAGAAAAACCAGAAGGAACCATAATCTCTATTCCATTTAATTTGCAATCCTTGAAAAGAGAAATCATTACAGAGGTATTCAACTTATATGTAACTTGCACCTAAAAGCTGACCTGCAAATCAGGGTTAAACAATGAAATGTAAATAGGCAAGTCTCCAAAAGAACTCAATCTACTCAATTACTGTTCTATGGGAACATAACAGTGAATCTTTGTATAAGAAAAGGAAAATGAGTTACAAATTCAAAAGAGAACTTCTGAGAAAATTTTTCTCTCAGTATAATTCCAATAACAAGAAAGCTCCTCTCACCATTTGCTGCACAGGGGTTGAAAGCTCATCAGAGGAGCTCTCAAGACAGATTCTATTGGCTGCCATCGCCAGTTATAGGGACTAAAATGGCAGAAGGTGGAGGTCAGGAAGAAACATTCATCTGAACAAATAAAACCATGCCAGAAATTAGTATTTTTTAGACCAGGTAGGAGAAAAATGTGGAATTAGGTACTTTGCCTTTAGTTCCTCAGTCATTTGGTCTCTTTCTCAATTAAGATGTGGAAATTAACAAAAATCCTGTACACTAAAGTAATTTCTCATATTAGAAAAAAATTGATACTCACAGACTTTCTGATATCTTTTGAAGAGAGATCAATCAACTTCTTGTTCATGGACCACTCTTCATCAGATTCCATTATGGCTTTCTAAGAAATAACCATTTGTTAAATGAAAAAATAATACATAAGAAAATACAAAAAAGTTTATAACAGAGAAATACAGTTAATTAATCATGGGGTATGGTATACATGATAGGCCATTATCCTGACTAGATTAAGGCCTTAATTTTACTTATTTAAAATTGAAACTTCTTGAATTTTTAAAGTCTTACCTTTAGCCAAAGATAGCATTCTTTTACTCATTCTTAACTCTTGTACTAACTTCAGCTCAACTTTACGTGACAATCCTTAATAAGACTGAGCAATTTAATATTGAAGATAATTTGTGAACATAAAGTTCACAAACTCCTCACCGCCTTCAGAGATCTACTAAAATAAATTCATCTAGCTTTACTACTCTTCTTCCAAATATCAACAGAGTAATTTATCTGCTTTCTGGCAACCAAGAACTTGAACTATTTCTGCTCATAACAAAGAAGTAAAACTGCAGGAAAAAAACTACTCTAGAAAATAAAGCTGATTTTTTTTAAATGCAGGAGACACCTTATACTTCTAACAGTTTATTCCAAGTTGATAATAACTTAACTTTGCATACAACTCTACACTTTATTCTCCCCTCACACACATTTTATGTTTTTGATGTCAGAATTTATACAACTACAATTTGTCAATTTGTAATTTAAAGAATAAAAAATTTTTAAATGCAAGGAGAAAATAAATATAAATGAAATTATAAGACTTTTTGCTAAGCAATATGACTACTATTTATGGCAAAAAAAAATAATAATGGAAAGAAAGGCCAGGGTGCTGAATATAAAGCACCTCAATTTTTTTTGCAGTATTGTTATTTATGAAGCAAATTTTAAAGACAAAATCAATATTTAAATATGTACAATTTAAATGTATCAGACATAGTGCTGTTTCCTATTTTAAAAGTATGGGTATACAATGTGATGAATACTCCATATTCAATAATTAATATTAATTAATATAATTATAATTAATGATTAACAATATTAGTAATATTTAATGATTATTTATCATAAAATGTTTAGTGTAGAAAAGTGATATACCATTTTAAAAGATGACATTTCTACAACCCCACAGAAGCAACAGTAGCTACGTTATACTGGGCAATGCATCTCAAATGCTAGTCACAATCACTAAGACACAACCACCTACTGAGAAAGTACAAGCGCGCACACACACACACACACACACACACACACACACACACACACACACTGAAAAACTCAGATCTGGAAACAACAATACAGAAATTCATATAGAAACAAAAAAGAGCACAAATAGTCAAAACATTCCTCAGCAAAAGGAACAAAGTAGGAGGTATCACACTTACAAACTTTAAACTTTATTACAAGGCTATAGTAACCAAAACAGCCTTGTATTGGTACAAGAATAGGCGCACTGATCAATGGAACAAGACAGAGATGACAGAAGCAAAACAAGGACTCTCAACCAACTCACCTTCAACAAAGTCACCAATAACAAGCACTAGAAAAAAGGAGACCACATTTAGCAAACGGTGCTGGGAAAACTGGCTGACCACATGTAGAAGAATGAAACTGGACCCCTACCTATCACCACATACAAAAATCAACTCTAAATGGATTAAAGACTAAACATAAAATGTCAAACTATAGGAATCCTAGAAGAAGACAAAGGAGGCACCCTTCTGCACATAGGAGAAGGCAACAAATTATTGACCAAGTCCCCAAAAGCGAATGCCATAAAAGCTGAGATATGCAGCTAGGACCTCATCAAACTGATAAGCTTTTTGCACAGCAAAAGAAACTAACAGAGAGTAAAGAGGCAACCCACAGAATGGGGGAAAATATTTGCAAATGATGCATCTGACAAAGTTCTAACATCCAGGATCTACAAGGAACTCAAAAGAAGTAAAAGGAAAAAAAAGCAAAGAACCCCATTAAAAAGTGGGCAAAGGAAATGAATAGACACTTCTGCTCAGCCTCACTAGTCATCAGAAAAAAGCAAATCAAAATTACAAAGAGATACCACCTATTTCTGGTAAGGATAGCTATCATTAACACATAAAAAAAAAAAAAGCAGATGCTGGCATGGGTGCGGAGAAAAGGGAACATTTCTACATCGTTGGTGGGAGTGCAAGCTAGTTCAAACTCCATGGAAAGCAGTGTGACGATTTTTAAAATTATTAAAAATAGGCCTTCCATACGATCCAGCAATCCCGCTCTTGATAATATAATCAGAGGAACATAAATCATTCTACAAAAAAGACTTCTGCACATGCATGTTTGTTGCTGCACTATTCACAATAGCAAAACCATGGAACCAACCCTACTGCCCACCAAAAGTGGACTGGATAAAGAAGATTTGTACATATACACGATGGAGTATTATGCAATCATAAAGAAGAACAAAACCATGTGCTTAGCAGCAAATTGGACAGAACTGGACACCATCAAACTAAGTGATCTATCACAGAAACAAAGAACTGAATACCCCTTTTTCTCACTCATAAGTGGGCCCTGAACATTAGTCACATTAACATAAGGAAGGGATCAGCAGTCACTGGGTACTGCTAGGGGAGGGATGGAGGGTAGAAGGTGGGAGCATGTGACAACACAGAAGTACTTGGTCCATTACCAGTGGGAGTAAAGGTCAGTTAGAAGCCTAAATTTCATCCGCATTCAGCCTACTTATGTAGTTAATTCCCACTTGTACCTACATCTCTATAGTAAAATAAAATGACTGCTCAAAAACATATAATAATCTCTTTCTCAACTAAATTTGGCTAACATAGGACTGGCATGGACCTGGAATGTGGCTTTACTCTCTTGTACTTTAATAGAATAATTCTTCACATCAAATAATCAAATTATCTTTGAAGATTTCTAGAGAGAAAATAGATTTTTACCAACTCATAAACCTTTCATTGGAACTTATAGTTCATATTGATAAATTTTGGCATCCTATACTATCTACAGTTTTCATATGCTTCTTATATCAGTTCACAAAACATTATCTTCCTTTCTCTTTAGATATGCTAATATTTCATATACAGTTCTACATTTACATTTGTATTGCAATGGGATCAATATCAAACACATACAATTTACTAAATCTGCTTGAATACTGTAAATGGCACATAGTTGGTTACATACTCTAGTCATTATTATATGTCCAAACATGCATATAGGTAGAAGAAATTTTTCTCTTGACAGCATGATGAAACACTAAATACTAAAACTTACAGTAATAACTTGTCTCAGCAATTGTAATCTGTACTGCTTGTAGGTTATTATCTTTGACTTTATTATATTTCAATAATCAGTTTCCTAGAGTTATAACTATAATTTTGACTTGAAAGTACTTCAAAATAAAACCCTGATCTCATTTGAGAAATGGGAAATTAAAATAAAAATTATAAGTTACCATTTAACAGCACAGTCATACTGCTAAACAAGCATGCTTTTAAAAGGTCCAAATCAAAAATTTCTTTAGAGAAAAATGTATATAGCAGAATATTTTGTGCTTGGCTTCATATCTTTATATGTTATATAGAAAAAAATCATTAATAAAGACAACTGTATTCATAAAACAGCATTATAGCAAAAAAATAAGTGTGCATGCAAAGACTATCTATAAATACCTTAAAATAGATGGGAGCCATATCACCCACTTCCCTTGGGAGAGGAATACACTCATAGACCATGTGATACTGTTTCTTCATGCTCATATTAGTTTCTAAAAAGATGCAGTCCAATCCTTTATCTTCAAACATCTTTACCAATGATTTTCTGAACATCTAAAGAAAGAAGATGAACTAGATAAATAAAACACAGGAGATTCAAAATAAAGCATTTACAAGAGATTTGAAATATGAAAGTAATAAAAAGTACAATGAATCCCTTTAAAATGAGAAATAAATAAAATAAGTGGTAATGTCTGAACTCTTCAATGTTACCTTATAGTTATGTAACTTTCTAAATTCACCATATAATTTCATATATTTAAGCAATGATTTTTTAAAACTGAAACCCACACTCTGTATATATTAGAAATAGTTCCAGTAAACTAAAATGAGAAAAGGAGGACATAAAAATCAAATTTAGGTGATACAATATGCAGAACTGACAGTAAAATCATAGGAAAACAGCTATAAGCCAAAAAAAAAAAAAGGATACTCAGAGCAGATGGGCATCCTTAAATTCAGAAACAGAAAAGAGAATTCACCTCCAAGTGTTTCCCTGTGGTCATAGCACCTTTGTTTGTTGGTTCTGCCGAACCCTTCACTTGTAACCTTGTATATTCACATAGCACTCTGTTTTCATATATGATGCTGTCCTATCAAGCGTATTAAAGCCAAATACACTAAAGTTGAAAAGTAAAAGGGTTTTCTTTTCCCAGAGAGCTAATCATTACTATATCATCCCTTCTATATATGTGTGTGTATGTATGTATTTCACACTCCTAGGCCTGAGGGACAGTTGCATGCATTCACCTGACACCACTGGTAGTACAGGATGGAGCTAGGGGTTGAAAAAGGCCAGCTCTCTCCACACTACCATGTCCAAGTGTGAACCTCCAATGTGTGTGAGAATTCTAAATTCAAAGTTGGCCTCATAAGGTATCATATAAGCATATTTGTCTAAGTAGAAAGACATATTTGATTTAGATTTGTCAGCCTGATTTATAATACTTTAATTAAACTTTTTTTACTTTGAGGTAATTATAGATCACATGCAGTTAAATAAATAATACAGAAAGATACTATTTACCCTTTACTCAGTTTCCTCCAATGGTAACATCTTAAAACGATAGTACAGTACCACAACCAGGATATTGACTAAGATACAGTCAAGATTCAGAACAATTCCAACACCACTCATAAAGATTTCTCCTGTGGCCAGGCTTGGTGGCTCAGCCTGTAACCTTAGCGCTTTGGGAGGCCGAGGTGAGTGGATTACCTGAGCCCGCGGGTTTGAGACCCACCCAGGCAACTTGGCGAGGACTCATCTCTACAATAAATAAATAAATAAATCAGCAGGGCATGGTAGCGCACGCCTGTAATTCCAGCTACTCAGAAGGCTGAGGCGGAAGTATCGCCAGAGCCCAGCAGGTTGAGGCTGCGGTGGCCAGGAGCGTGCCACTACACTCCAGTCTGGGCGACGGAGTGAGACTCCAACTCAAAAAAGAAAAAAAGATTTCTCTTGTTACTCTTTTATTTTTTCTTCTTCTTCTACTTTTTCCAGAAACAGGGTCTGGCTGTGTTGCCCAGACTTAAGTCCAGTGGCTAGTCACAGACATGATCACAGTGTACTACAGTCTTATATTATTCCTATACTCCTTGTACTCCTGGGCTCAGCCTCCTGAATAGCTGAGACTAGAGGTGCACATCACTGTGCCTGACTCCAGTCACAATCTAATAGTCACTATCACTCCGCACCTTAGGCACTTCCCATACCCTCCCCTCCTCTGCCTTAGCCCCTTGCAACCACCAATGTGTTCTGCATTTCCTTAATTTTGAAAAAGAAATGAACATTTCAGATTCCCTCCTCATCAACAGAACACCACAGGATTATCCTCTGGAAAAAGCTAAATAATAATAATAATAACTGAGCTGGAAAACCAGACACAGTTGGGAGGCTACAGTCTGAAAACAGGTGTTATAGGAAATATTAATTAATGTTCTTAAATGTTCAAAACTCTGTCACCCCTAGCCCTTTTCCCCCACTCAGCTTCCAGAAATTGGCAATCAGACATCAATGGCTGAGGTAGAAAGCGGAAAAAAGTCTTTTCTGGAGGGTCTGATTAGTCCTAAGAAAAAGACCTAAAGGTAACACTAGCTGTTTCTCAATGAAATGGCCCTGACACATCACACCATAGTGAAGGTCCCTGTACATAAACGTCAACAGCCGACCTCCCTTCCCAACCCATCAATTTGGGATATTTTTTAAATGGGCCTACAGAGTCTGACTATAGCCTATGTTCAAGCAAATCTGTCAAACTGATAAGAATAGATGCAAAAGGAACTATGTTTCACTATACATTTAACAAAACTAACAATTTGGATCATAATATAGTTTATACTCTGCTGAAACTATATTAAACAGAAAGCCTGAAATTAAAATTAAATATTACCAATTAATGGTAATTAAAAAAAAAAAACACTTGAAAGAAGCGGCTCCTGAATTTGCAGACAACATTTTGTACTAAGTCAAATCACTTTTAATATATCTAACGTAAGAGGTGAATAATCAAAAGGTTATTCACCAGGGTAGAATTAAAGTTGCAGTTGTACATATTTGAAAGTAAAACAGCAACAACAACAAACTGTACTTCTTTGAACTAGGGTTAAGATATTTCTTTAGTTCACTATCCTATTCACATTTATAACTAACAATTTTTTCTTTTACCACACAAAAGGAGCTATATGCCATTATTTGCATACAACAATTTGGCTTTTCCTCCCTTTCCCAATTTTCCATAAGCATTTGGCTTAGAAAATCTGCTAAACTATAATATAGCCTGTACTAGAATATATTCTAACCTTTTAATAGAATTAATAAATGATTATATCTTTGCATTTCTTGAACCTAAAATATGATATTGATATACTCAATATCTGCTGAATTAAATAAATTTCTTCTTTAGCCAATTAATTTTTCCCTCAAGGAGTTTAATTTCTTATAGAAATATAAAACACACACTCGACTGCTGTAATTACTCAAAATATTTTTGGCACTTTATTTTGTTCTAAGTCAAATCAGTTTCATAAGTATAAAAATTTTAAAGGCATCCCAGAAAAGTTCTAAAATAATTCTGAAAACCAAACTTTCACACTTTCTACCTTAAATTACCTACTGTCACTTGTCACTGCTAGGAAAAACCTAACTTTCACCTAAAAATATCTGTCCACATTCTTACCTTTGCTTGGCCACAGATGCAAAAAAGCAATCGGCCCTTTCAACTTTCACAGCATACAAACTTAAAAAGTATAGGGTGTATGAACCAAATTTCATGAAATGCCATCAAAATATCTCTTCTTTTGGCATCTTTACCAGCATGTGGCAAAGACTAGTAATAGTCTCTTTTGAAGCTGTAACTCACAATTTTCACATTTTCTAATTAGGTTTCCTGTAACCCCTATATAGTTGTTAGGCATTAGAAAATCAAGAGTTTTCTTTCTTGGTCATGATTAGGTTTTGAAATAATTCAGCAGCAATTACACCCATGTTGTGCCTCTCACTCTCTTAAAGAATCAGTCACAAAAACAAGTTCCTGAATCTAAAAGCTAAGCCAGGTTATGAAGAAAAAAAGCAAAAATTAAAGCTAGTAACAAAATCACCACAAAAACACAGTAACAGAGAAGGCCAATTCACGACAGAAAAATATGGCAACTACTGAATACAAACCTCTGGCTCTTAAAATTTCTTTTATTAAACGAACACTTCTTTCCTTGTAAGCTGGACTTTCTTAGCTTACTGTGGTAAGAATGATTCTCATGCTACACAATGCACTAATTAGAAATCTTAGACTTTGGTTTTTTTTTTTTTTTTTTTTGTCAGAGTCTCACTGTTGCTCAGGCTGGAGTGCAGTGGCATGCTCACAGCCACGGCAGTCTCAACCTGCTGGTCTCAGGCGATCCTTCCTCCTCAGCCTCCCAAGTAGCTGGAACTACAGGCCACACACCACCATACCCAACTAATTTTTTTATTTTTGTAGAGATGAAGCCTCACCAAGTTGCCCAGGCTGGTCTCGAACCCCTGGGCAGAGGCTCATCCTCTCGCCTCCACTTCCCAAAGTGCTGGGATTACAGGCATGAACCACCATGCTCGGCTTGATTTTTTTTAAGTAAAAATAATTATTACTTTGTCACAGTTTATTTAGTAGACAAAAGTTCTCAAAACCTGGAGTATATAAGGGAAATATAATAAAATGGACACATTCTGATATATATGTATAAACACAAGTGTTTAAGTTCAGAAACTAAAATAATTAAACAGAGGGATAAAACCTGTTGGAATTTAACACAATAGTTATTAAATCCTGCTCATGAGCTGTGCAATAATAATGAACATTATGGGGCTGACCTGAATTTCCTCCCAGATGTCTTCATCCAACAAGGTAGCTGCTCTATGGTGCTGCAAAGGGACTATCAGGCAGTGCCCCTCAGTGAGAGATCGGAAGTTGGGTAAACACAAATAAACCTTTATGGGGAAAAAATTCAAAAAGAGAAATGCTACTGTCATTTATTCTCAGTTGCAACAGATGAGTCACTAGTAGAGAAAAAAGATGACTACTTAGTAAAGTATACCTGCTTTTAAGAAATGCTTTTTATGCTAATATTTTTTAAGATATTTAATATTCTTAATATTTTTAAAGCCATGAGGATGGCTTTTAATAAACTAGCAATTTATAGCGTAAGTCTCAGTTTTCACTGGTATAAATCAGACAAGGATTCAGATTAGTCAAAAAAAGGCAGAATGAATGGCACTTTATTCTTAATCTAAAGTAGGAGTAGATACAAATACTAAGGAGGCGTAGATCAGAATATCTGCCTAAATTTGCAGTAAAATCACAAGCTCACTCATGAAAAGAAAAAGAAACAAAGATTGAGAGCTCTGGTGTACAACATATTTACAACCCTGGTGTACGAAGTCCAGTAAGGGTGGCACCCACTTCAGACAACCTGTAGCTTCTAAAATACACTAAGCTGTCCCATACCTCCTTGCCTTTGCTCACGCTGCCCTCTATTTCCTGAATTCTGAAATACATCCCATTCTACCATTAAACCGTAACACAAGACACTTCTGTGAAACCTTCCTTGGTATTTAAGGATAACTTAAGCATTCCCCCACTGTGTTCCCATAACCCTCCTGCACTTTCATCACTGCATAAAAATTGGCCTGTTTATGTATTTGCCCGCTCCCCAGAAAACTGTAAGCAACGTGAGGAGATTTTAGCCATATTCATATTTTTAAAACCTAACAAAAAGCCTGATATACACTAGATGCTCAATAAATACTTGATGAATGAATGAATTACTAAACAGTCTTGTTTCCATTTCTAAATCCAATTAAAAGTAGATGATTAGAATCATGTAAAATATTAAAGAATAAACGCAAATCTTTTAAAAGTGATAACCATAATATGTGCAAGTTGGGGAAAAAGCTTAGAAAAAATTAAGACAAGTAAGTAGTCAATATTTTTTTCTATTGGTTAAATTCTAAACGGAATTTTTAAATTTACCTTTTTGATAAAGCATCAAGAAAAAGAAGGGTAAGGAAAAAAGTTTAAAAAAAAAACCGATATGGATAAATTGACTATCTTAATGAACCAAAGATATTAAAGACTGGAGGTGTGCGTGTAATCATATATACACAGCAAATAAAATAAATATGTATACCTTCCAAAATATTAGCTCCTAAAGCCAGCATTCATTCATTCAACCTCTTCTACCTTTTCTCACTCACTTCCCTCCTACCTTCTTTCTGTTCCACCAATGCCAAGCTCATTTCTTCCTCAAGGCTTTTTACTTACTGATGGTGCTTCCTGAAACATTATTCATTCACATCTACATATTATTTGTTTCCTCTCATCTTACACATCTTTACTAAAATGCCTCAGAGAACCTTCCAGACGACCTTATCAAAAATAATATCTCCATTATTGTATCCCATTTTCCTCACTTTATCTGCTTTACAACAACTAATACTCTCTTAAATCAGGGCAACTATTACTTCATTTTCTGCCCTATTTCACTAGACTACAAGCTCCAAAAGTCTATCTGATTCTCCAGGGACTAATTGGGGTCTGGCACATATCTGGTATACAAAAGTTATTTACTTATAAGAATTAAATCAATAAATATTTATTAAAATAAGTCACTGTTATGTGCAATGAACAGGGCTAAATGCTTGGTGTTCAATGGTGAGCAAAAGTTCTCTCTGCCATCATGGAACTTAAAAACCATTAGGAGAAAGACAGAACAAACAAGTGAAACAAAGAAAGTAGAATAAACTTCCTCAAATTGTGAGGCATTCTATGAATAAACAAAAAGGTTCTGTAAGAAAGTAAGCAAAGGCTAATAAACGTTGTATTTCTTACCTTAACACCTATTGCCACAATAAGGTGCTTGGGAAATTGAGAGCTGTCAAAGCAATACAGACATTTCTCCATTTGTGCAACAAGACTCTGATGCTCAGCGATAGCTTTTTTCCTCTGGTTCTCTTCCTCTTCACCAAGACGTTCTTTCGTAGCTGCTTTGGAGACAAACATGTCATCCAAAGTATAATAGTCTCCGTCTGTTTTTCCCATGAACTGCAGCCAAAATAACAACAGTGGAGAGGAGAAGGTAGTATTAAGATTGTATTGTACGATAGTATCATAAAGTCATAACTGTATATTCTATGATAAAACTCATACATTAAAAAGAAGAAAACATTAAAATTTAAGCTTGACTGTCAAGAGTTCATCTAGCAGCAGCATTACCACAGTTAAAGTTTACTGAATATATACTTTTATACTTCTATGAGGTGGGCTTGTTGTCATTTTCATCTCATCGATGAGGAAACTGAATCACAGAGAGATTAATTAAGACACTTTCACTTTAAAAATTAGCATATGCACTACATAGAATATGAAATATTTTTCTACCACATCTCCAAGACCCTTCCCCACACCTCTCCTAACATAAACTGTGGACAGATTGATGCTTTTAAAGCACAAATTTTATTTTCTTATTTTATTTATAACCCTGCTTAAAATTCTCAGCGAGCTCTACACTGTGCACAGGATCAAGTTCAAACTCTTGCTTGGCCTACTAAATCAGACACATGGATAGCCATAACGGCTAAAAGCTTAGATTCGACAGTAAAAATGATCATGATAAAATTCTATCTCCTGTCTGTATAACCCTGGGCATATTTTCCTCTGGGTGCTTTCTATGCCATATTTCCTCATTTTACATGGTTATAACAATACAGGCTGAGTGTCCCTTATTCAAGATGCTTGGGACCAGAAGTATTTCAGATTTTGAATGTTTTCAATTTTTGGAATATATGTATCATGAGATATCATGGGATGGGGCTTACACACCTTAGACACAAAGCCTGAAGGTAATTTTAAACAGTATCTTAGCCGGGCTCGGTGGCTCAGCCTGTAGTCCTGTGCTTTGGGAGGCTGAGGTGAGTGGATTGTCTGAACTCGCGGGTTCGAGACCCGCCTGGGCAACTTGGCAAGACCTCATCTCTACAATAAATCAAAAATCAGCCGGGTGTGGTAGCGCGTGCCTGTAGTTCCAGCTACTCGGAAGGCTGAGGCGGAAGGATCACCGGTGCCCAGCAGGTCGAGGCTGCAGTGGCTGGGAGCAGCCACTGCATTCCAGTCTGGGCAACAGAGTGAGACTCCAACTCAAAAAAAAAAAATAAAAAATAATTTTGTTCATGGAACAAAGTTTGTACAAAATGAACCATCAGAAAGCAAACATGTCACTACCTCGGCCACCCATGTGGAATCACAGCAAGTTTGCCTTTATGCCTACCTACTGTATCAGCACTTCCCAGAACAACTATTCTGTCCCCGGTGTCCTTAATTCCTGCATAGACTGTCTCATCAGCCACAGCAGTGTCTTTCTGGGTCCACAAGACCTGAGATCTAATTCTACTTTTTTCAGTCCTAGGCTAGATTTAGTTGTCACCTCCATGAAAGACATTTTCTCCATCTTCCAAGCACTTCCAGTGTGTATCTGTACCCCCATTAGTCTCATGATGACTATACTGCATCAAAATGGCTCATGAACTTGTCTTTTTCTTCCATTACACTATGTTCTACTCATGTTCTATTTAGCATAACAGAAGTACAATAACAATAAAGTGAGTATTAATAACAAAACAACATTTTCTCCATCATCAGATATAAAGCCCGTTAGGTCTTAGCAGACAATTAAAAAGATTTGAAGACAGAGTGGTCTATTCATGACAGACAAAGTAGATTTCAGAGCAAGCAATATTATGAAAGCTAAAGAAGGTCTTTTAATAAAGGAATCATAAAATGAAGAGGATACAATAATCCTAACAATAGACCATAAAATATATGACCACAAAACCTGGTAGAACTACAGAGGAAACAGATAAAGCCCCAACAGTAATCACAGATTTAAATACCATTCTCTCTATAATTGGTAGAAAAAAAGAAAATCAATAGGTATATAGAAGACTTGATTACACCATCAACCAACCTCGCCTAAATGACATTGACAGAAACTCTACCCAACTGCAGCAGAATACACATTCTTCTCAAGTGTACTGAAACATTTAGCAAGACAGATAACATTTAGGGCCATAACACAAATCTTGATAAATTTAAAAATATTTTAATAACACAAAGTTCTGTTAATACAATATAATTAAATTAGAAATCAGTAACAGAAATATCTTTGGAAAACTGCAAAGTATTTGGAACTAAATAGTGTACTTCTAAATAACCCATCGATCAACAAAAAATTAAAAAAGAAACTTAGAAACTATTTTGAATTGAAATAAAACAAAAATATAACATATCAGAATTTGTGGGATGCTGCTAAAGCAGTAGTTAGAGGGAAAGTTATAGCATTAAACATCTATATTAGAAAATAAGAAAGGTCTCAAATCAACGTCAACTTCTACCTTAGAAACTGAAAAAGAAAATTAACCCAATGTAAATAGAAGAAAAAATTTTAAATGCCAATATTAACAAATCACGTAAAAAGATGATTACTAAGGCATTTCTGAGAGCACATTAACTTCCTTGTCCCTATTAGCAATTTATTTTTTCTTCCATATTTTCTCCATTTTAATCCTTGTGTACCTCCCTACTCATTTAGGTTCGTCTATTTATGTAAACTGCACTGTCTTACACATTATTGTTTTAACTTGAGATCTTTATCTAAACCATAATTCATTACATTTTTAAAATATTAGAACTGGTCACTAATCATTTTCATGATAGTAGTAACCAACTACATGCTAGGTACTAACATAAAATTTAAGTATTCTCTAATCAAACATCCTTGTAACAGAGGAACTGTTATTCTCACTTAGCTGATTAAAAAATTGAGGCTGTCTGCAACCAGCCTGGGCAACATGGCAAGACCTCTTCTCTACAATAAATTTAAAAATTAGCTGGGCGTGGTGGTACATGCCTGAAGTTCCAGTTACTTGGAAGACTGAGGCAGAAGGATCACCTGAGCCCAGCAGGTCAAGGCTACAGTGGCAGTAAGCGTGCCACTGCACTCCTGCCTAGACGACAGAGTGAGACTCCAATTCAAAAAACCAAAAATAATTGAAGTTAAGAGAGAAGCTAAATGACTTAATCAAAATCATACAGCTACTAAGGGACAGAACCAGGAATCAAAGATAAGTTTGTCTGACTAAAAAACTTAAGAAAGCCTGGTATATTAGTGAGGCCCACTCCCTTAAGAAACCAAACTTGAAAATACAAAAAGGATATATTGTGAATAAAGTCTGTGAAGCAGAATAAGAGCTAGAAGAAAACTCATTTCATCCAGAATAAACATACCAAATCAAGTTAAGATAGTTATCAAAGAAAGCATGGCTATCTAACAGGTAGTTATCTTATCTAAATTATATTTACAGGAATATAATATTCACTTCTATATAAAAAGCTGTGTCTATATATGATATAGTCCATTGTAATTTTGTAAAGTTCAGAAATGATCAGGGAAAACATTCAATTCAAATCAAATGTTTTATACGTAGAATACAGTATTTCTATTCTTTAAATCTAGGTTTCATGATGTTGCCAAACCTCTCTGATTTATTTATAGTATTTGAATTGAAAATGATACAGTCTTGCCAACTGAGTCTGAATGATTCTTCAACACAACTGAAATATGATCCTCACCTGTCCAAGAACAGTAATTCTCTCCTCCTACAGTCTCTAATTATTTACCCATGATCTTTGTGCTGGGATTTGATCCTTAATGTTTTTAATTTATCAGTCATGTATACCTCTTCTATGACCTTCAGCCCACCATATCCTCATATTTGACAACAGTCAACCTTTTTTTGATAGGCTGACTATTAAGAGACAGTGGAAAATGACAGTGGAAAAAGCAAACAAAATTGCTGAAAGGAAGAGAGGGAAACAAAGTGAAGAGAGGCACGAAAATTTGTTTCCTCTTCATTTAGAAAGAATTCTAAAGAAAACTGATGGTACTGTATAAGCTCAATTTGGTACACTATAAATGCAAACCAAACCCCAATGAGTTAACCACTTCACACTCACGAGGATGACTAGATTCAAACAGTCGGATAACAAGAATGTCAAGGATGTGGTAAAGAATCCTCATATACTGCTGGTGGGAATCTAAAATGGTGCAGCTCCTTTGGAAAATATTCTGGCAGTAACTCAAAGAATGAAACAGATTAACTAATCAAAAATTAAGCATATGGATTACCAGATTACAGAAAAATTCCACTCCTAGGTATATACCCAAGAAAAACATGCCCACACAAACTTGTACATGAATCTCTGTGGTAGCATTATTCATAATAGCCAAGGGGGAAACAACCTAAATGCCCAAAAAAGGAGTATCATTTGGCCAAAAAAGGGATGAAATACTGATACCTGTTAAACATGGATGACCTGTAAGGACATTATGCTATGTAAAATAAGTCAGTCATTTTTAAAAAAAAAAATATTATCTGATTCATTCATATGAAATGTTGAGAATAAGAAAATCTACACAGACAAAAATAGATTACAGGCTGCTAAGGGCTGAATGGGAAAAGGCTGAGAGGGTTAGAGCAGGATAGCTAAGAGGTAAAGGGTTTCTTGGGTGATGAAAATGTTCTAAAATGGACTACGGTGATGGCTGCACATTATCTGCACAAAAAATGACTGAATTGTATGCTTTAAGCAGATCAAATGATTAGGGTGGGCAACAAAAGAGATTCTAATGGAGGACTTGCAGGGCAGAACAGAAGCAGCAGCCATTTTATAGCTTGCACTTATTGAGGCTCATCTGCTCGCTCGCCTCTCTGGTATCAGGCAGCAGTTGGGCCTACAGCTGCACTGTCTTTCCCTGAGCTCCTAATCTCCCTTACGACTTCCAAACCACCAAGGTCAGAGGTAATAAGAACAGATGTGTTTCTGTTCATCCTTACGGGCTCCAGCTCACGTCTGTGGGTTCCAGATTTTTCTTGTCTTCCCCACCTTCACATCCATTTTTTCCTTCCCAAGATCCTGCTCTGTGAACTTAAAACTCCAACAGCAGATGAGAACACAACAGCTTTAGAGAGACTGCTTAGCCAGCTCCT